GGAGGAGGGGGAAGAGAGGGAGAAGGAGGGGGGAGAGGCTTCTCGCCCACTGTATACCTCCATGCTGAAGTAGGAGCTAGGGAGGATTTCCTACTGGAGGCTCCATGATGGAGGAGGAGAAGGAAGAGGAGGAGAAGGAGGAGGAGGGGGAGGAGGAGGAAGAATAGGAGGAGGAGGAGGGGGAAGAGAGGGAGAAGGAGAGGGGAGAGGCTTCTCGCCCACTGTATACCTCCATGCTGAAGTAGGAGCTAGGGAGGATTTCCTACTGGAGGCTCCATGATGGTGGGGGAGAAGCCGGAGTCTGTGGATGTCACTGGGGAGTAGAGAGAATTAAGAAAGCCCACTGGGCCTCCTGGGGCCGCCTTGCTTCCTCCCCTGACACTTGGCGGATCTGCCAATTCCCCTGCGCTGACCCCCGCCCTGGAGGGTCCTTCATACGCTGTGCGGAGCAGGAAAGTGGGGACTGGAGGAACACCAGGGAGGTGGAGGACAGGACGACAGAAGTCCTGGCTCCACTCCGGGCTGGGATGCTCTGGAGCTGCCTAAGTTTGTCACAGCATGTTTTGGGCCTTGGTGTCTTCATTTCTCACATGAGGACAACCGTTAGCATTTACCAAGTGCTGACTGTATGCTAGCCACTGGAAAACGTCTCTTGTATTCATGACTTTATGACGATCCACTTTTCAGATGAGGAAACAGAGGTTCAGAGAGGTGAAATGTCACTCAGCAGATGAGTGGCAGAAGCTGCCAGGTGCTCAGCTAGTGTCCAGTGCCCCTGCCCAGTGAAAGGTGTGTGGGGAGAGAGAGGGCTTTGGAGAGTGGGTCAGAGACGCACATGACCAGGTGTCATTAGCACCCTCTGCTGGCCTCTCCCGGATTCCTTCCTGCCACCAGGGCTAGCCTTTGAAGACACAGACATGACCGCCTCACTCCCAGTTCAAAACCCTTCCGGGCCCTCACTGCCCGTGCAGAGTCCAAACTGAGCTGCTCAGATCAGGGTCCTTTGTGTCTGGCCCTTCACCTCCTCCCCATGGACCTTCTACCCTGGCCATACCACTTCCTGGTCAGGCCTCCCCCCCCCCCCAGCTCAGGCAGCTCCTGCTGCCATTTCCACTGTGTCCTTAAACTCCTAATCTTCCCCTGCAACAAGCCAATGTCATTTCTTCTGTCACTCCCTCCTGGTGTTCCCATCACCTCAAGGGGCGCTCTGCTTGCCTTGTTTTGAATTTGATGATGAGGACTTTTCCCAACCCGCCTGAGCCTGCCTAGAGTCTTGGAGGAAAGGAAGCTTGAGAGTTGCCTGGTGTCCCCAGCCCCAAGACCTGGAACCGTGAACATTTGTGGCCGGGTGAATGGATCAAGAGAGCGGATCAGGAGCTGTGGAAGATGGTATGTCAGAAAGGCTCTCTGGGTCAAGGCCCGGGCCCAGGTTCTGGACAGCTCCATCTGTATCCCACTCACTAGGTTTGAGAGCTGATGCCCACAGCTGGTCAGATCTGGAACTGAGCTGTGTGACCTTGGTAGGTCACTTCACCTCTGAGTCTGGTTCATCATAATTCCTCTGGTTTGTGAAATGGGATAACAATATGGCTGCTAAGAGAATTCAGTGAGATAGTGCAGAAAAAACTCCACAGCAGAGCCTAATCTGCAGGAAGGTAGGTGCACCTGTCCTCCTGGCATTATCCCCATCAAGATCACCTCCATCAAAGCTGCCACCACCATCACCACCACATTCACCACCATCACCACCACCTTCACCATCACTATGATCACCATCACCACCATTATCACCACCATCATCACCACCACATTAACTACCATCACCATCACCATGATCACCACCACCATCACCACCACATTCACCACCATCACCATCACCATGATCACCACCACCATCACCATCACCATCACCGTGATCACCATTACCATCACCAACACCACCACATTCACCACCATCATCATCACCATGATCACCACCACCATCACTACCACATTCATCACTATCACCATCATCACCACCATTACCACCACCATTACCACCATCACCATCACCACCACCACCATCACCATCACCATCACCATCACCATCACCACCACCACCACCATCATCACCACCATCACCATTGCCATCACCATCACCACCATCGTCACTACTATCATCACCATCACCATCACCACCACCATTACCACCATCACCATCACCATCACCACCATCGTCACTACTATCATCACCATCACCATGATCACCATGATCACCATCACATCACCACCATCATCATCATCTTTCCATTGTCATGTATAACTAGAAAGAACAAATAAAAAAACAAAAGAAAAAAATAGATGGGTGAACCTCAAGGGTATTATGGAGTTTTTTGTTCTTTTTTTAAATAGGCCCCAAGGGTCGGGATGAGGTTCCTCCTGGAGCATGGGCTGAGGCCTTTGTGGTTTGTGTTTCTCAGCCTCTCCACTGGGTCTCCACTGGGTCTCCACTGGGTCTCCACTGACACCACCTGGCTGGGAGGAGCAAAGGCGGCTCATTATTGCTTCCCACGTGGCCTCCATGGATGGTGGAGCTGGAGAAGGCTTACTGACTGTTGGATGGTGGTAGGAGATTTGGTTTCCACGGCTGTGGAATGCCAGCCTCAGAACATTAGACCGAAAGCTAAAATTACAGACAGCTGCCAAGGAGGGGAAGTTGATTGGATGAACAGCCCCAGGGCACGCTGAGGTCAACCAGAACTGAAGCAGGAATGGGCTGCAGGTCCCGGAGTGAGCAGGCCTTAGGTAGTTCAAGAAGGAACGTTTCAGTATCTTTGTGCCAGTTTTAGAGAGTTGGGGACCAGATGGGAACCAGGAACTGTCATGAACAAAACACCTGGGCTGTACTTAGTAACTCAGTTTATACTAATTCTAGAGTGCAGGGCAGGGGATGGAATGATCTGGGGTGTCTGTTTTCAGAAGTTCTTGTCTTTATTGTCTAAACACTATAGTCTCTCAACAAGTTACTTAGTGTTTACATTGCATGGGTAGAATAAATAATCTACAGGTGAATTACGTGCACAGGAAGCTGTGCCTGGTTATATGCACATACTATGCCATTTCATCCTTAGGGACCCTAGGGGGGCCTGGAACCAATCCCCTCCAGACACCCGCAATGACTGTACAGCCACCCGCCAATGCATGCTCCAGTCACCCTGGGAGCTAGTGTCTTTTCTCTCCTGTTTCATCAGGAGGATCCAAGGCCCTGGAGCTGATGTGACTCACCTGGGGCCCTGCAGGGAGAAGGTGTGCAGGCATGATTTGAATTCCTGTCTGTTCGTTTAGGGTTCAAGTTCTTAACCGCTTGGCTTGACAGCCAGGGATGGTGGAAGGGGTTGGCAGGAGGGGTCTGCTGGAGCTGGGCCCCCACTTAGGAGGGCTCTGGAGAGCTGTCCTGAGTGTCCTCTTGCTCTCTGGTCCTCGAGTGAGGAGCCTATTTGGTGGCTTCAGGCACACATGCCAAGCCAGGCCCCCTGGTGCCTGCCCACTGAGAAGGCCATGGGGCAATGCAAATCATGTTTGCCCACACCCAGTATGGATCCGCAAATCCCTGAATAAAAATTACACATTGCTGTAATTTACCAACACCGCCCTGCCACTCACAGCCGCGGGGGGAGGCTGAGTGCCGGGAAAGCCGTCAACAGCCTGGGGCCTGCTGGGCGGCTGCGGCTCGGGAAGGGAAGCAGTCTCTCAGGGCTTCTGCTGCCACCACGGTGCTGGCAGAGGGAGGGCCTGGCTCTGTGGAGGCCCCGAGGGTTGACCCAGCCCTGGTGTTGGACTAGCACTGATCCCCGCCCCCTGGCCAGAAGCCCGTGGTGGTGACCATCAGAAACCAGTCAACGCAGCTAACCTTCCTCCATCACTGCCTCCTCCTCTCCATTCTTGCAAGAAGCCTGAGAAGCAGGTACTTTGTCACCCTCATTTTGTGACGGTGGAAACAGGCCCAGAGAGGCTAAGAGACTCACTCAAGGTCACCCCGCCCAGTAATTGGTGGAGATGTTCCCAAATTAACTCGGATTGATTAAAACATCTGGCTCTCAGCCACGAGGCTGCCCTGCCAGACCTGCCTCCCGCCTCCGAGACCCATCAAGAGCCATCCCTCCAGGGCGCAGGCGCAGCAGTGGACTCCGAGAGGATCCCTGAGAACAGACCTGGACCAGCTTACTGTGTGTCTCAGGCCTTTGAGCCTGTAACCATTCCGTGTGTTCACATGCAACTCCATTTGTGGACTTGGGATTTTGCACGTGTCCAGATTGGGTTGTGTGAGTTCCGCACGTGTTCCCTTGCGCATGCGTGCTGGCGGTGACAGCCGGCTGCTTGGTGCGCTTGTCTGTAGGTATTAGCATACATACGTGCGTCATGCTAAAGTGCTTAAGAGTATATCTGATTTGTCTTGGGTACTTACTAGGTTCCAGACACAATCCTAGGTGCTTTTACAGGTATCACCTAATGTCATTCTCCAATAATCCAAGAGGCAGGTACTGTTAATATCTCCAAATCACAGGTGAGGAAATCAAGGAACAGGGAGAGCTGGAGTTGCCCAAGCTTCCCTTCTTTTGCGGGGACAAAGCTGCTTTGTATCTTAAGCATCCTTGCTCCTTTTTGGCCCATGTGGCTTAGGCATTGGTTTGTCCCCCTCACCACACAGGGGCTGACCCGGATGGGGCAAGTCAGAGTCGCTGGGGGGGTTCAAGCGGCTCCAGAGCAGCCCCGGAGGTAGTTCAGTGTTGCTCAAAGAGCAGCCAAAGGTAGGACTGTCACCTTCCTGGGCCGCGCCTGGAACTTGGAGCTGGAGTCTCTACGCTGGGACCTGTGTTTCATCTGCCCTCAGGTCACCCTTGTGCACTTAAGAACCTGGATCCTGGAGCCACACTGTCCTGGATGGGGGTTGGCCCTGCTGCTCTGCCATTCCTTAGCTAAGGACAAGTTATATCAGCTTTCTGTGCCTCAGTCTGCGGCTCTGTGAGATGCAGGTAATACTAGACCCGGGTTTTTTGAGAATGAAGTGGGTTAATTTATACAAAATGCCTAGAGGAGTTCCCAGCATGTGACCAGCAGCAGGGGGGCCTCCTGTCACTGCCATTATGCAGGGATGACTTGTGACCCGGTCCTGCTCCAGTGAGCACCAGCCTTGGGACTTTGGTTGCAACCATGGGGAAAAAGTCACCTCTCCCTCCTTAGGGTGGAGGCCTGGAGATGCTGATGACTGCTTGCCACCACAGAGGGACAGTTTGTCTGAGAATAAAGCCCCAAAGAAGGAAGTCAAAAGGAGAGGGGTCCCTGAGGACATTCTTGGAGAACCTGGATTCCTGCCTGAAACCCCTGGACGTGCATTTCGTTTGAGTCGGGCCCTTGTCACGTACCCTGGAAGCACTCCTGCGGGGGGCTGATCTCACCCCAGCATTTCGCACGTGAGCCCATGGCTGGTGAGTGGTACAACGATCGAACACCTGATCCCCGGACTGGCACCCCTTTTTGGATGCTGGGCCCAAGCTCCCTGTCATCCACAGTCGTGGCGAGCAGAGCACTTGAGCTGTGTGGGGACGTTTTGTTGAGGCTCCTTGGCCTTTGGATGTCAAACAGATCTTTCTCCTGCCAGGCCTCCCTGGAGCAGCTGCTGGGCTCTGTCATTGAAGATGCCTCGGTCCTCAGCCCCAGGCTGGTGATGGGCTGATGCCAGAGGCTGGGAGCCCTCTGGGGCAGTGACTGTGACCCGCTCCTTTCTTCCCTATTCAGCCAAGGGGTGTGTGGGGTGGGCATGGCCAGAGGCCACCTTCTTGCCTCCGTTTTTCCAGCCTGCCGCCCTGGCTTCCGGTGTCTGCCTGCCTTTCTGTCATCTCCCCCAGGGTGTGCCCTATATTTTGCCCAGCTCTCACACTCCTCCCTCCATTTCAATTTGGCCTCCCCATTTCAATTTCCACCTTCTTATCTCCCCAACTCCCAGCCTCCTTTAAGCTCTCCCATCCGGCTTCTCCCCATCTCCCCCAGCCTCGCTGCTCACCCCAGGGACCCCCCACCCCTATCCTTGACCTCTTCCCAGGGCTCTGACTCTCCCACCTTCCCCTGCCTCAGGCAACAACTCACACCTGTCTCCCTTTCTCTCTCCGGCTTCTGCAGGTGGCCCGCTGCCAGTCGGGTACCAGCCGGTTGCCATGGGAACCACTGAGTAGCTTAGGAAGCTGCCATAGATCTAATCACGGGCTGTGAGGCTTCAAGGAACAGCTCACTTTCTGGATGAAAGACTGGTGCTGACAGCCGTTTAGGCAGATGCTGGGGGGCGGCGGGAGGGGGAGCAGAAGCCATGGGTGATACCAGCCTAGTCGCAGGTCACCAGGACAGGAGGCCAGGTCCATCGTGTCTGTGCCTCATGGTCACTGTCAGACCCTCTGGGATTTTCCTGAAGAGGTCGTGGGTACTGCATTTGTTTTCTCCTTGTTCCCCCATGGCTCAAATCCATTCATTCATTTGCTCAGCCGATGCCCCCTGACGGTCCTGTGCTCTGGGCTTCCCTGTGCAGTCAAGGAGACAGATCCCTACCTAGAAACCTGTCCCAGAGGGCCCAGGGTCCCTGGTTGGAGGCATCTAGTGCTGGGGGAGGCCTAGGTGGGCAGGAGGCCCCTGCTTGTGGGGGAGAGTGGGGGTCCTAGGATGTATCCTTGAGCCACGTCTCAAAGGGAAGAACAGGAGTTTGTCAGCCAGGCTGATGGTGAGGGCCTGCAGTTCTGTCTTTGAAGTGGGGCTTGGAAACTGATTTTGTGTGTCCATCCTGGGCAGTTCAGACACAGCACAGCAGGAAGCATGAAGAATGACAGCGACAGACATTTTTGCAAGGGCTTTTTGCAAGAGCAGCCCTCTCTCATAGCTGTGCTGACAACCATGTGGGGGGATTCCACTCCTAGAGAAGTAGCCCCAAATTCATAACCCCCAGGTCTCCTGGGGTGCGTGGCCTGTGTTTGGGAAGGGCAGAGTATGGGGGCTAGGGGGGGTCACCTGGTGGCCATTGTAGTTTTGTAGCCAACAGGGCTACAGCTCAGCTTCCCAGGACAGAAGGCCTGAAGCTCGGTCTAGTTTTAGATGGCTTCCCCTGGTTCCAGGCTTTTGATTTCTTTCATCCAAGCCAGAGACTGTGTTTGCACATAATTTGCATACATTTGCATGTGGTGTCGCAGGACCCAGCACAACATGCAGAAAACACGTTTTTCTCGCCAGGGTGCTGGCAGCCTGGATCCGAGCCCGGGTGTGCAAAGACCAGGCCTTGGCCGCTCCTCCTGCCTCCAGGGCCTCCAGCCTTCCTTCCCCAGCCATGAACACAGACCCAGGCCAGCAAGGCCTGGAAGCCGCTGCACATAGGAAGCCTGGATTCTTCGGGTCCTGCCCAGGGCACTTCTCTGTCTCCACCTGCCTTCGTAGGAGTCTAGGGTTGACTGGACAGGAGGGAGGGAGGGGGTGAACCAGAAAGTTCTCTCTCACTTACCCACTCATCTGAGTCTGCTCACCAGGTGCTCACACTGTACCAGGCAGGCCCTCTGTTGTGGAGTGAGTCAAACCAGCCATGGTCCCTGCCCATGGGGAGTTACGAGGAGAAGGGCTTTGATCTGATGTCCGCCCAGATCAAAGCACGATTGCAAGTTTGATATGCAACAGAGACATCTGTGGTGCTGTGTGTGAAATCAGAATTAGTCTTGAAGGTCATGGAAGAATTTCTGGAGGAAGTATCTCCACTGAGATGTTAAGTATGAGACGCTAGGTAAAGAGGAATTACAAGAGCCTTCCAGACAGGATAGAAAGCATGTGCAAAGGCCCTGAGGTGGGAAGGAGCAGGAGACCGAGCAGAAGGGACAGGAAGGCAGTGTGACTGAGGGAAGAGGGCTGGGAAGTGTGTAGATAGGAAGCCAGGCTAACTCCTCACCTTTCTGGCACATTCTAGAAGGCTCTCTTTAATGAAGATATGCCTTTATTTAGCCATCACCATTAAGCAAGGAAGTGACATTAGGAGAGTGTGAAGCATGGATAGAGCTAAAACAGGAGCACAAGTCGGAGCTGTGGGGATCACGCAGGTGATAGGAGGCAAGAGCTTGTGTTGGGGGACTGTGGGTGGAGGTGGAAGGAAGGGCAAGGAAGCGTGAGATCACCAGGGGGCGCCAGACACAGATGAGGCTTGGTAGGAGGTCAAGGGTAATTGACAATTAGGACTAGATTTCCGAGCACCTTCCGAGTCAGGAAAGGGAGCCACTGAGGGAAGTGATGGATATGGGGCTGGGGGACCTGGGGGGCCCTGGGTCGGGGAAGAGGAGCCGGAATTGAATTAGGGTTGCGCTGAGTTTGCATTGCCTTTGAGGTCTCCTCCTGGCCGCTGGGTAGAGGGTCTGGAGTCAGGGAAGAGGTGGGGTGGGGTTGTGTCCTCCCACCGCTGCTCCTCATTGCAGGAATCCCTCTGCATCCTGCACCTTCTAGAAGCACCCAGCCTCATCCGTCTTCAGATTTGCATTTTTGGCTTATTGCCACCCTAAGGGGAGGCCCATTTTGGCCACCGCTCTTCTGCTGTTTATGTCCTCATTGGTCTTCCCCCACCAGGCTCAGAGCCTAGAGGACAGCTTCTTCTTTTCTCAGCATCCCCAGTGTCTACCGCGGGCCTGATGGAGGCCAGTTGTGGTGTGCATTTGTGGAAGGAGTGGCCAGATGCCAGGGCTTTATTTTCTAGATTCTGCCTTCCCCTAGGGAGGGGAAGGCTTTTATTTTCCTCTTTTGGGTGTTGCTGATTGAACCCAGGGGTGCTCTACCACGGAGCTACGGCCCAGTCCTTTTCTTGTTTTGTTTGTTTTGAGTCTGAGTCTCACTAAGCTGTCCAGGCTGGCCTTGACATTGTGATCCTCCAGCCTCAGCCTCCCAAGTGGCAGGGGTTGTATGTGTGCATCATGGTGCCTGGCGTGCCCTTGGCTTCTCAAAGGTAACAACTGGGCTTCATGCCCAGCTGTGCCCTGCGCATAGCCGGGCATGCTCACAGTTGGTGCTCAGTAGAGGCTTGGGGTTTCCTTCCATAGGCAGCCCCTTCCCAAACAAGTAGAAGCCAGCCTCTGATCCACGTGGGTGGCCTGCGTCCCCTGGGTGTAACAGATCTGCCTGTCTCGTTGCCCACGTGTCCCGCCTTCCCCGCAGAGCACAGGATTAGATGGCTGTTCAGTAGCTCAAGTGCGCAAATATTCCTTTCAAAATTATTACATTCACCCTTTGTTGGCAGAACATGCCACACAAAACATCCAGCCTCTTATTGAGTGTGGGAGTCTGTTTTCTGCTTCTGCTTCACCAGCAGAACTGAGGCCGACAGGCCTCATCAGGGTTCCAAGTGTCTGCTTGGCCAAGTTGTGGCTGGAGCCGAGGGCCAGTGGGAGCTGGTTCTAGGTTAACCTGGGCTGACCCAGGCAGGGCCGTCCTCACCATCACCTGGGCGTCTTCATCACTGACACCAATACCAGCATCACCTCTGCCATAGCTATTGCCACCATTGCCAGCCACATGACCGCCATCACCACCACCACCACCACCACCACCATCACCATCATCAGCTTTTTTGCTGCTGTGACCAAAAGACCTGACAAGAACAGTTTCAGGAGGAAAAGTTTATTTGGGGTCTCACGGTTTCAGAGGTCTCAGTCCACAGATGGCCAACTCCATTCCTCAGGGCCCGAGGTGAAGAGGAGCATCATGGCAGAAGTAGGTGGTGGAGGAAGGCAGCTGGGGGGCATGGCTCCAGGAAGCAGAGAGAGCTCTGCTTACCAAGGAGAAAATGTAACTCCCAAAGGCAGCCCTCCCAGACCTCCTCCTCCAGCCACACCCTACTGCCCACGGTTACCACTCAGGAAACGCCTATCAGGGGTTAATTCACGGGGTTAAGGTTCTCAGAACCCAGCAATTTCACCTGCAAACCCTCTTGCATTGTCTCGTGTGTGAGCTTTAGGGGGTCACTTCACGTCTAAATCATAACAACATCATTACTAACATCATCACCACTATCACACCGTCACCACCACTATCACCGTCACCATCACTACCATCAGTAACACCTTCACCACCACCACTAACACCATCACCATCAATAACACCATCACCATCACCACCAGCACCATCACCATCACCACCACCACTAACACCATCACCATCAATAACACCATCACTATCACCACCATCACCACCACTATCACCACCACCACTAACACCATCACCATCAGTAATACTATCACCATCACCACCATCACCATCACCATCACCACCACCACTAACACCATCACCATCAATAACACCATCACCACCACTGTCACCGTCACCATAACTACCATCAGTAACACCTCCACCACCATCAAAATACCATCACGATCCTCACCATCACTACCACTATCACCATCACCACCATCAGTAACACCTTCACCAC